AAATTTTTGTTGGGAAAAAGAAGAAAGTAGGGGGGGGGGGGGGGGGTCTTAATTAGGTCTTAATTAGACCGAGAACCTAATTAAGTTGACTTTCTTACTTACCTACTCACTTAGGGTTACCTAATTTAGAGTCTTGGGAATGCACCGAAAAGCTGTCTAATAAACCTGACATTGCTTTTGTAATTTTCTTTGGATAAAAGTGTCTGCTAAATCCATAAATGTAAATGAGAATGTCTGTTCTGAATGCAGTGAGTGCTTCGTCATTTGCTAGACAATCCTGGCAGAAATGCTGAGAACTATTGTTACCCAACACTAATTACGGGTAAGAACAATTTCCAGTAAATGTGTCTATTACTTAAGAAAAAAAATCATTTAATTTCAGTGCATCACTGAGATTATTGTGAATTAAAGCCAATTATCATTATTAGCATATTATTTACATGAAATATAAGTGTAATATTGTTTTACAGAAGTATTTATATTTGATGCTAAAGACATAATAGACACTAGAAAAGGTCACTGAAAGTGTCCCCCTCCCAACTAGAGTTCCCCCTAGACCAGTTCAACTAGCAAAAACCTGTTGACCCTCCAGCTTAACCAGCAACCACATTGACCAGAAAGACCACACTGGCTGACAAGTTTATACGTTTTGTTTTCTAGAACAGCCCAAAACAGTACTAACCAGCACTTACCAGCATGATAATATATACTTATTATAGGATAATATTTATTGTATATATTGCTGAGTTATATTAGTAGGCTGCTTTGATGACTAGATTGCAGTGTGAACTCACCCACACATTGTTCTCCATGTTTCTGGTATCCAGGATTACACTGACAGGTGTAGGAGCCTCTGGTGTTATAGCAGATCTGGTCTGCATTGCAGGTGTGTAGGCTTTGAGAGCATTCATCTACATCTGCCCAAACACACACAATCACACAGGCTGATCAGTGCACTCCATGATTAAAGCAAGCTTTATAACATGAAATAGTATTTTATTAAAGCCATAAATTCAAATGCAGTTAATGGGAGCGGGTCATTGACAAGTATCATGAAATTAATTAACATGAAAAGTGGAACATTCAATTGGTAATCACTCCACATAGAACCCAAAGCCCAAAGTGTAGCTACAGACTGCTGGATTCAACCAGATTTACTGGATGGAAAGTGCTTTTCAGGTTTCTTGTCACTGCATGATGAATCAATGATTGCATCATTGGTTCAAATCCCAACATGGCTTTGGCCCTTTCTCGGCTCTCTTCTTCAAGGATTCTTCTGCCCTGAGTGACAGCTCGATGTTTATGTTATCCAGCTCTGAGGAAGTGGATATCGTCTCCATTAAGGCTGGAGATATGGAGGACTCACCACCCATATCCCCTGCTAATAAGGAGCTGGTGGAGGTTGTGACCCGTGTCATGACTAAGTTTAACATCAAAAGACCGGCAGAGAAGCAGGAAGTGTGCCACAAAAGCAAGTATTGACTGGCGTCAGGCCACCGACTTGTCTCTCTGGCCCACCAAGGAGACATCCTGAGTCATCGGCTGCTCCATGTCAGTACTGGTGGCCATGGAGAGACACCTTTGGCTCCTGCCAGAAGGCAGCCCCAGCCATCTACATCCAGCTCCTCATACAGGCAGCAACACTTTCCTTCAGATCCAAGGACTGGTTTGTCACGTTTATTCTAAAGGACGCATACTTCCACAGATCTATCCTTCCTCAACACAGGAAATTCCAGAGGTTTGCTTTCTAGGGCGAAGCATACCAATAGCACTACCCCCTCGCACCTTCATGAAGTACATGGATGCAGCACTGGCTCCTTTGAGACTCCAAGGCCATCCATGTACTCAATATTATCGATGACTGGCTGATTTCAGCAGTGGGTCTTGTGGCAGCAGCATCCAAGTGAACCCTTTTGGCCTGCAGCACATGAGTTACAGTGGTGGCTCAGAACTAAACCCATTCCACATGATAAATGTGATGCACAGATGCCTTCATTCCTTGGTGATGTGGAAGAAACCTTAGTCTCTGCCCCAGGGACCTGTGCTGGGGGCATCGTGTCATTGCAAGATGCTAATGACAGACACTTCCCTCATGGGCTGGGGAGCGGTCCTGGAGGGCTACTCAACTCAAGGTCTGTAGAGACAGCATCATCTCTCTTGGCACATTAATGATGATAGCTGTATTTCTAGCTCAAACGTTATTCCTCCTAAACCTCAGAGGCAACCACATCCTTGTCTGTATGATCAACATAAATCATTGGGGGTCTGTGGTTGTACCATCGATGCAGACAGGTGCACCAGGTCCTTCTATGGTCACAGGGCAAACTGTTTTCTCACAGAGCAGTTCACATTCCACATACCTCAATGTGGGAGCAGACAGCCTATTGAGGCAGGGGCTGAGGAAACTCCATTCCAAGATGGTGGAATTAATTAGGAGTAAGTTCAGCCAGGTGAAAGTAGATCTGTTCGCATCACTGTGGGTCTGACCCCTAACGGGGATCAGCTCCTGAACCATCTTAAACGCTAGAGCTCCTGCCATGAGGGTATCATACTCCTTCCAAGTGGAGGGTTTTCACCTCATGGTGCAGGGAATTGGACCCAGTTAACTGCCTAGTGGCTTCAGTGCAAGTGTTCCTCCAGAATTGTTTCTCTGTGGGTCTATCCCAGGGGTGCCCAAACTCGGTCCTGGAGGGCTGGTGTCCTGCAGAGTTTAGCTCCAGCTTGCCTCAACACACTTGCCTGGAAGTTTCTAGTATGCCTAGTAAGACCTTGATTAGCTGCTTCAGGTGTGTTTGATTAGGGTTGGAGCTAAACTCTGCAGGACACCGGCCCTCCAGGACCACGTTTGGGCACCCCTGGTCTATCCCCTTCCATTCTTAAGGTCTCATAGCTGTCTTCCAAGCCCTGTTACACAATGGGTCTTTGGGAACCACAATTTGATAACTCAGTTCCTTTGTGGCACTCGTAGAATGAAGCCTAACACTTTTTTGTAGATGAAGATTATTTTATATTATTTTATGAAGATTTATTATTTTCTCTGGGGATCTGGATCTGGTCCTACACTGTGGACCAGGCTACGTGCCTAAGGTACCATTGAATAACGCACCGTCTATGATTCTGCAGGCCACTGTCCTTTAGCTCCAACCCTAATGAAACACACCTGAACAAGCTCATCAATGTCTTCAGGATTACTAAGGCTACAGGCAGGTGAGATTTTTTCAGGGTTGGAGCTAAACTCTGCAGGACAGCGGCTAATTAGGACCGAACTTGCCTACCCCTGCTCTATGGGGAATGACTCAGTTTATTAATTAAACCATGGTTTCCCCAGAGGAACCTGTTTTGTACCAAGTGTCCTTTATAGCTTCCACGTCATTTTCATACTATTTGTGTGCTTATGTGATTGTCCATAACTTACTACTGACATAACAATAAATTGAACTTAATTTACATTATTTGACAGATTTAAATAAATTTTGTGAGAAATGCAAAACAACTTTTAAAACAAAACAATTTCATATTTATGTTTGTTTTTCAATGGAATAACAGTCCCTTTACATAGTTGGCATAGTAATAGCAGCAGACATGTGTGCATATAGACCCCAAGTATAGACCTCTGACTAAAGTGGCATTTTTCATTTTAATATTATTTTCATGGCATCCCTTGTCACAGCCATCACAGTTAATGCACACAAATGTAGTGCTCTTTGTAGGAGAATCCACGGCTCCCTGACCTGCCTTCATTTGTGACAGCCAGTTAACAATTGTGTCTGTCTTATATGTCAGCAACATTTGTCACTGCTGTGAAATAAAACCTTATTAAAACATCTGAATACAACCAGCCTAACTAGCAATAGCTTAACAACGAGCAAGCTGGTCTGGTGTTGGCATAAAATAGTCGTGCAAGGTCGAAAATGTATATATTCACAATTACACATTTAAAACATTAAACATCTTATAACATTATTTATGCAATTGAAACTGAAGAGTAAATACATTCATGCCACCTCTGAGCTGCATTAAACAGTCTGTGTAAATGCATCAACAATAAATTCCACCTAAGATAAAGCTTCTCTGCCACATCTGAGTGTAAAGATTTTCTTGATAATTATTTCATTTGATAGATAACAGTCCTGTGTCTTATTATTCTAATTATGCCCTTGTAAAGGTAAAAAAAAAATGCTCCTGGAAATTAATTTGTAATTGTAATTAATTTGTTGTTGCCTGTTCTTGTGATAGGCTATATGTAGAAATAATGAATGCTAAAAAGCGCGTTCTCTGTGAACTGGTAATTTTATGTTGAGTATTAAACATCTGCATTAGTATACGGGTATTGAATGAATGAATAAATAATGATTATCTACAGTATTGTTACGGAAATACCTGACTCAGAGACAGGATTAGCAGACAATACACACAGAGATTTTATTAACTGAAAAAATAGGGAGTAGCAATGGATAAGTATTAATGGAGCAATGCAATACTGGAGAATGAAGTGGTTTACTGGAGAATGAAGAGGTCTTTGCAGATGGAGGGGGGGATTGTGGATTCGCTGGAGTGCACACACTTCTCTGGGATGAAGACTTCATACTGGAAGTAATCGAATGAGAGAATCACAGGAGGTAAGTATGCTGGTAAGTGGTCCATACATCAACTAGTAGACCAGACAATGAGCTTGGGAGAAGTGTGTGCTTTTATACAGGAGCTGATGAGGGTGTTGACAAGGTGCAGGTGATCAGTATTCATGGGACTGTGAACTGAGTGAGGGAGTGACGGTGGAAACCTGGTGACATCGTGACAGTACACCCTCCATGGCCCGTTCCTGAGGGCCGAGGACCCTGACGGTCAGACTGGGGTGCATGGAAGTAGTGAGGAGATCAGGATCAAGGATATGATCTCTGGGGACCCAGGATCTTTCTTCAGGACCATATCCTTCCCAGTCTACTAGATATTCCAAGAGGCCACCACAGCGTCGGGAGTCCAAGATTTCCTTGACTGCGTAGGTGGTACCATCCTTCACTTTCATCAGAAGAGGGGCTCATAAGCGGGACAAGGCTCTGTGGAAGGATTAGAAACAGGATTATGTTATGGCTTGAGTAATGATACAGAAGGATAGGATGAGTGAATTCTGAAATGTGTAGGGAGTTGGAGCAGGTAAATGACAGTGGGTTAATCTGACAGATGATCTTGAAGGGGCCAATGTATCTGGGGCTCAGAATCAGAAGCAATCTTGTAGCAGTGAGAGGGTCCCATTGGCCCCTGGTCAGTGCCAAAATATGTATGTGTTGAATGGATCAGAGGAGCGCGTTGAGAGCGTTGAACATAGGTATAACCAGGAAGACACCCAGGCAGAGCTGGATTGGAGAAAACTCTCAGGAGACCATTGAATGGGACTTGGGATTTACTATGAGCTTAGAGGGAAGGATTGGCTCAGGAGCTTCAGGAGAATCATCAAGGGGGGCATCTTCCTTAACATTCTTAGAACCAGGTCTGTAGGGCATCTTAAAGTCAAATCTGGTAAAGAAGAATGCCCAATGGCTTGTCGAGGGTAAAGTCTCTTGGCTTCCCTGAGGTATTCCAGATTCTTATGATTGGTACGTACCATGAAGGGATGTCTGGAACCTTCCAACCAATGCCTCCATTCCTCCAGGGCGAGTTTGATAGCCAGCAGCTCTATATTCCTGATATCATTATTTCCTTTCCGCCAGGGTGTAATTTCCGGAGCAGAAGGTGCATTTCACAGGTCGCTGGAGAATTCATGGAAGGAGAGAGAGACATTCAGGGTAACAGGCTTCGCCCCACTTCAGGGCTTCTCCTGTTTTCCAGAATAGCACTGGGTTGTCTTTAATTAACCATGAATGCCCTGAGATGATGCCAGCGGTGGATTACTCCAGAACCAGGAAATCCAGGGATCCTTGATGGAGTTGGCCAAGCTGGAGCTGGATGGGTCCCACACGGAAATGCACATGACAGAAGCTGAGCAGTCTTCCTGTTACTGACTGGACTTGTTATTTGACTTCGATTGGTCTTCTTTTGAGTTGTAGTTGATGGCAGAGCTCCCCCGAGATAAAGTTGCCAGCTGACCCATAGTCGAGTAGGGTGAGTACTGAAACAGATATCACGAGCAGTAAGGGGGAATTCAGTGGTGAGTGGAGATGCATGAGAATTAGGAGTATGAATGAAACTCACCACAGGTCGAGGAGAACGGACAGGGCATACAGAGATGATATGCCATCATACTCCGCAGTACAAACAAAGACCCTGGACCAGCAGTCATTGCCGCTCAACGGGATAAACAAGCTTTGTCCTCAACCATGGGCTCCATACCTGGTTCTGGAGAGCTGGCATACTTTGGCTGTTCATGGTAGGAGGAGGACTGTTGGCCCTGTTGGTCTTCCATACAGGTCTGCATACAATGAGAAACACAGATGGAGAGTTGAAGGAAGCATTCGAGACTGATGGAATCATTGTAGGCAGCGAGATGCAGCCGCAACTTGGGTTCCAATCCCTGTCGGTAGGTGGTGAGGAGCGAGCTCTCATTCCCCCTACTAGCAGCTGCCAGAGTGCAAAAACAAAGATTATAATCTGTTACTGACATCTTTCCTTGTTTTAAGTGATACAATTGCTCACCCACAGATGAATAACTAAGCGATCTTCCAAACACTTCTCGGAAATGAGCTACGAAGCTGCTGAATGACTGGGTGACTGGGCCATCCTGGTTACAAATGGTTTCCGCGCACTGGAGCACTTGCCCCGATAACGGAGAGATGACAAAGGAGATCTTGGATTTCTCAGTGGGAAATTGGTGCAGCTGCATCTCGAGGGCCAGTGAGCATTGTAGAAAAAATCCATTGCAGCCCTCCTCCGAGCCAGAGTAAGGCACCAGGTTGGCCATAGGACTGACCACACAAACAGGTGCTGAAGGAAAGACTGGTGTGGTGATCAGTGTTGTTGTGGATGCTAAGGCCCGTCGCAGCAAATCCACAATCTCCTGAAACGGGTCCGTGGAACTCATGCTGCGGTATTTATTCTGGTCTTCTGTTATGGAAATACCAGACTCAGAGTAGAGGTCTGCACGGGCTTTAAGGTGAAGCCCGAACCCGGCCCATACCCGAGATCGTCTGACCCGACCTGACCCGAGCGGCACAGTTAAATTTAGAGCCCGAACCCGAAATCTTTTTTTTCCCCCCACAACGAATAGCCCATTTTAAAAAAATGCTGTATTTCACGATTGCATGCAACGGTCAGTAAACAAATACATGTAAAGAAACGCAATCATTAAGGCTCGGCCAGTTCACAAGGCAAAAGAAAAAACACTTACCAGTTATGAAAGTTTATGAACATCAGGTGCAGCGGTCACAAATATTCTGCCGAGTTTTTGAATGGTTGTATACGACAAGACAATAATTCTTCCATCGTGCAAATTATGGTCATTTTCGTCAGTTGAGGCTCGTTAGCATTCGGCCTGATTTAAATCAGACACAGAGATGCAGTGCGGTAAGATCGCATTTATTTGAATTAATTAGTTATATAATTTATTTGAATTAGCAGAGAGAGAGAGAGAGAGATAGATGAAAGTTGCGTGTGTGAACCTGCGTCTGCGCGCCTCTCTCTTCAAGCAAAGTGGCTTACTTCAAAAACAGTGATTTTACCCCCTCATTGCAGAGAAATATAACGTTGCGAGTCAGTAGCCTGTCGAAGCTATTTTACTAATAAAAGTTTCCGTGCTGTGTTGTCGTGTGCAATAATGTGTGTGCGTGTGTCTATGAAAGCAGCATACTTAGTCTGCATGTAGTTTTAGTTTAACTATAAACCCGAGCCCGAGCCCGACCCGAACCAGAAGCTATTCGTTAAACATGAACCTGAACCCGACCCGAAAGTATTTCGGGACCCGTCGGGTTCGGGTCGGGTAGCAGACTTCTAACTCAGAGACAGGATTAGCGGGCTATACACACAGTGATTTTATTAACACAGAAAGTGGGTGAGTAGCAATGGGTAAGTAGTAATGGACCAATGCAATACTGGAGAAGGAAGAGGTTTACAGTCTTTGAGAATTGTGTGCACTCCAGCGAATCCACATGCAGTGATGAAGACTTGGACGAGTAGACACACAATAGAGGACGTTGAAGACACAGGGGGAATGCTGGAGGTAATCGCAGGAGATAATCTCAGGTGGTAAGTAGGCAGGTAAGTGGTCCGTATACCAATGAGTAGACCAGACAATGAGCTGGGGAGAAGTGTGTGCTTTTATACAGGAGCTGATGAGGGTGCTGACAAGGTGGAGGTGTAGGTGATCAGTATTCAGGGGACTGTGAACGGAGTGAGGAAGTGACGGTGGACTAATTTTTATAAAAAAGAGGGGTGTCCTTTTTTCAGTTGAGTACATGCCACCCAAAATGTCAGTGCAGGGCCCCGAATATCAGTTTGCATATATATATATAAAAAAAATTGCCTTTACTGAAATGATAATATTATGTTATGGCTTTTTATCCATTTTTAATGCTGGGGAAAAAAAATTCTGAAATGTATGTTTCTTGTTTACTGACTCAAAATAACTTTTTAGTTTAGAAACTTTTCAAAGAAAATCCGAAAATGTAGCACTAACTGCACTGTTTGCTGAAAATCAATGATTGGAAAATAAAAGAGTTCTCTTACCCAGCCTATAATTGAGACTAATGCTACCACAAATACTGTTGTTGTGTTAAGAACAATGGCTTACCGTGGCAGTAGTTTTGCTCATCCAAGGTAAAGCCCAGCAAGCACTGTTTGGCTCCAGCTGCTACACCTCTATGGTTTGACTGGGTGCGAGTTTGAGGGGTCTGTGGGTTAGTGGGGTTCAGCGGGTTAAGGGGGGTTTGGGGAATAGGGTCTGTGCGCTGGGATGATTCGTCTCCATTAGTGACAAAAATCTGGGCATTCTGAGGGAGGCAGAGGTAGCCGCCATAGTGGTTTATGCACTTCATACCTCCTTTGCAGGCATCAGAGACAATGGCACACTAAAAAAAATTGCCTTTACTGAAATGATAATATTATGTTATGGCTTTTTATCCATTTTTAATGCTGGGGGAAAAAAATTCTGAAATGTATGTTTCTTGTTTACTGACTCAAAATAACTTTTTAGTTTAGAAACTTTTCAAAGAAAATCCGAAAATGTAGCACTAACTGCACTGTTTGCTGAAAATCAATGATTGGAAAATAAAAGAGTTCTCTTACCCAGCCTATAATTGAGACTAATGCTACCACAAATACTGTTGTTGTGTTAAGAACAATGGCTTACCGTGGCAGTAGTTTTGCTCATCCAAGGTAAAGCCCAGCAAGCACTGTTTGGCTCCAGCTGCTACACCTCTATGGTTTGACTGGGTGCGAGTTTGAGGGGTCTGTGGGTTAGTGGGGTTCAGCGGGTTAAGGGGGGTTTGGGGAATAGGGTCTGTGCGCTGGGATGATTCGTCTCCATTAGTGACAAAAATCTGGGCATTCTGAGGGAGGCAGAGGTAGCCGCCATAGTGGTTTATGCACTTCATACCTCCTTTGCAGGCATCAGAGACAATGGCACACTCATCAATATCTGTTCATGAACATGGAGAGAAAACTGGCATTATGCTTTAGAATCACTTTCTCAGAGACATGAAAATAGGCAAAAGGGCAACTGTTGGCCATAAAAGGCCAGAGAGAGAATATGATATCAACAGTATTATTTTATTACCTTTGCATACCTCTTTAATGGGATCATATTCATAGCCTTCTGTGCACTGCTGTGAGGAAAACAAAAAAGATCACTATATAACAACGTTTTATGTGTCAATTTAAAAATATATATATAAGCAGCAACAACAAAACTATATACTCAATAATATGTATTATTTATAGTTTTATGTAAATACACTTGCCGTATATGATACAGGCTCTTCTGCCTCTTGAGAAACAGCACTGGCAGCAACTGTCATTACCAGGTAGATTTCCAACATCATGATGGTTCTACATGGGTTAACAAATCAAAACAACAACATAACACCTAGTGACATCACTGCTGAACATGTGAGACATGTGAGATCACATCTGCCTTCATTGGCTCAACTCCAGTCAGAGCTCATGCAGTTCACATACCTCTCTAGAAATGTCTTTTAAAGTGCTACTGAAAATATAACCATTTAAAATGCAGTTACAAGCAGCCATCAAACACTTAGAACAATGCATTTAGTTCAAACCAGCAGCCTAAAGTTACATACTTTACGTTAATACACAGTAACCCGAGCACTGAAATACAACGTGTGATCTGTTATTGCACAGGGTCTGTTTCATGATTTCATGGTTTAACACTCACTTCTATTAAATTACATTCTAAATCATAATGTTTGTGCATAATAAAATGAACAAACAAAATGTTATTATAGCTCATAAAATACTTGTCAATATTCATGTACTGTAGAGTATGATATACTAGACAACATACTATAAAACTCCTCTCACCTGCTGTAAGAAGCGTCAGGAGTTTGGAGCTCAGTCCTGTGGATGATGAGGGTTTGATGTCTGTATCGGAATGTCAGAGATGTTTGAGGAACACTTCATGACGCCAGCATCACTGCAGGAATGTGGGGAACAGGTTGTTTCCCGCTGCAGGAGTTTGATGTGTTTGTTTGGTGGGCTCCGGGAAGGGCAGGATGTGGCTCCCCCCACAGGTTCTTTAATAAACTCACTGATGCCAGGCATTGTGCTTATATTATAATAAACCAGGTTATAGTGTCAACGTCATATTGTTTTACAGTTTTAATGCATTAGTTGTAAATGTCCTCTATCTGAGCTGTATACTTCTGGAACACTCCCTTTATAGCATTTCCTACAAACTCAAAGCATTTTTTTCTTCCTCTTGAAGGATTTTGTTATGTCTTCATTTTATTGTAAAGTGAGCTGTGGGAAAGGTGCTTTAGAAATATAACGATATTATTATTATTATTGGACAAAGTGATCGAATGTAAACAAGTAAATGTCCACAGTGAAGAACTGATTGATTTTCCTCACTTTGCATTGGATTTGATATAAATCAAAAAAACATTAAAAAAAAATGTAATTAGGGGTTTGTGATGCATGTGCAACTTGATGCATGAGCAATCTTTCTTGATGTAATCAGTTTATTAACAGGCCCATCTATATGTTTTCTTATTACATTCAAAAACCCTTATAATATAAAACTCCTTTACTCTTAAAAAAAAACATTTTATGATTTGATGTATTTATCATACATGTGCAATGTTAGAAATAATGATTCAGGCACTAAATATGGAGTTTAAGTCCAAAAAGATCCAGTCAAAACATAAGAACAACCCAAAAAAACAGGCAACCAAATCCAAAATGTAATCAAATAAAAACAAGAACTGCAGATTAGAGCCATAATCAAACATACAATGTCAGGAAACGCAGGAAACGCAGCTCAGCTAATGAGAATGTGCAGTGAGTGAATGAACGGTCCGGTCATTTGGACATACAAACAGGAAATGAAGCATAGGTGATGGAAATGAGGGCGTGAGAACCAGTCAGTGTGATCAGCTCATACGGAAGGCTCACAGGTCTCAATGAGTCCAAACAAACACATACTGTTTTCTACTGACTCCTGACACCCGGAAACTATTCACAACATTCTCCTCTCTACTCTCTCTGCCCTCCACCATATCACACTTCCTCTCTGACTGTTGATGACTTTGCCAGCTATATAATTATTAAGATGGCATCCATCAGCAACCAGTTCTCTACAACCAACCTTCACCCACACATTTCCACTCTTCTTTCTCACCCCTCAAACAGAGCTTTTTGAACACACTCTCACAAGTGGATAAATTATAAAATGCAGCTTCACGTTGTAGTGTGAACTACTGGAGGTTTTCGAAAATGATGATGCAATGTCAATTCAAGTTTATTTGTATAGCGCTTTTCATGATACAAATCGTTGTAAAGCAACTTTACAGAAAATTAAGTTTCTACAATATATTTAGTAGTAGCTTATCAGTGATGACTGTCAGTTAATGTACATATGGCCAGGGTTTAAACTGGGCCGGGGCCGTCAGGGGCTGAGCCCCGGCACATAGACTCCTAGGGCTCGACATTAACGCCAGACAAATAACATGATTGAAAACATCGGTAACCAAAAATAACTATGTAAACACCAAAACGCAAGTATTATTTTGATTTTATTACATTTAGAGTAAGTGGCGAATAATGTATATAGCTACTGTATAGAATGCATCTATTGACAGTATAAGGTTGCGCTGCTGAGGTGAGGCTCACGCAGTCTCTCCGGGAGAAATCAAAACACGCAACACTAAGAAACTCAGCATCCTGAGGTAAAAATTCAAAATGGAAATTTTTTATATTTAAAATAGTTAGTTAGGCAACATCACACAACATTTTCACCATTACGACTCTCTAATAGTTCTATAAACAGTTCAATAAGCAAATACAATAATATTAGGTCACTTACATTTTAGGCGGAACACAGCGCATCTCACAGCAACCAGCCGATTCATTGCTGATTGATTCCGTGTTTTAATCGAAGTGGTTGAATCAAAGTTTCATTAGCCCATGTATAAACATCTGATGAATTTGCCTTTTGAACGAATCGTTTGAATGAACGACTCAATGACTTATTCATTAAACGCTCACTACTGGCACCTACTGGTGTTTTAATTTCATTGAAAAGTATCATTTCCACCATCATTTCTTGTTTGTATATTCAAAAATATTCAAAATAATCTCATAATGATTTTATTACATTTAGAGTAAGTGGCGAATAATGTATATAGCTACTGTATAGAATGCATCTATTGACAGTATAAGGTTGCGCTGCTGAGGTGAGGCTCACGCAGTCTCTCCGGGAGAAATCAAAACACGCAACACTAAGAAACTCAGCATCCTGAGGTAAAAATTCAAAATGGAAATTTTTTATATTTAAAATAGTTAGTTAGGCAACATCACACAACATTTTCACCATTACGACTCTCTAATAGTTCTATAAACAGTTCAATAAGCAAATACAATAATATTAGGTCACTTACATTTTAGGCGGAACACAGCGCATCTCACAGCAACCAGCCGATTCATTGCTGATTGATTCCGTGTTTTAATCGAAGTGGTTGAATCAAAGTTTCATTAGCCCATGTATAAACATCTGATGAATTTGCCTTTTGAACGAATCGTTTGAATGAACGACTCAATGACTTATTCATTAAACGCTCACTACTGGCACCTACTGGTGTTTTAATTTCATTGAAAAGTATCATTTCCACCATCATTTCTTGTTTGTATATTCAAAAATATTCAAAATAATCTCATAATAGTATTTAATGCAGTTGTATTTTTCTGTGTAAGTTATTTAATTTGATAACGTATAGATAATCACATTATTATAATTGAATTTATAGATCAAATGTAAGAATCTGAAATGAAAGTTTTAATGAGGTTAGGGAGAAAATGCCCTCTATAAAGGTAAAAAAAAAATGCCCATAGATAAAATATAAAAACACGCAGATTTATATGTCACAGCTGATAGAAAGCTGATGAGAATATTGCTTCAGAATAAATCATATTTGCAAAACACAAAACACACACACACACACACACACACACACACACCACATCCAGCAGAAATATGTAAAAAATGCCCATAGATAAAATATAAAAACACGCAGATTTATATGTCACAGCTGATAGAAAGCTGATGAGAATATTGCTTCAGAATAAATCATATTTGCAAAACACAAAACACACACACACACACACACACACACACATAACATCCAGCAGAAATGTACGGAAAATCAATTGAAGACATAATCAAACAGACGATGAACACTATTAACATCAATTATTATATGAAACACGCAAACATTCATTATCAGTAAACAGCCAAATCAAATGCAAATTAAACAGCTTAACTTACATAATAATATTATTAGAAAATATGGGATTTGTTTCCACTGTTATGCTGATGATACTAAACTATATATTTCAACGAGACCAGATGAAACTTCTAAATTATCTAAACTCACGGAGTGTGTTAAAAATGTAAAAGATTGGATGACCAATAGTTTTCGCTTATTAAATTCGGATCAGACAGAGATAGTACTTATTGGACCAAAAAACAGCACACGGAATCTCTTGGATTACAATTAGCAACTAGACGGATGTACGGTTACTTCCTCTACAATCAAAAATCTGGGTGTTATATTAGATAGCAACTTGTCTTTTGAAAATCATATTTCCCATGTTACAAAAACAGCATTCTTCCATCTTAGAAACATTGCCAAGCTACGAAACATGATACCTGTTTCTGATGCAGAAAAGCTAGTTCATGCATTCATGACCTCTAGACTGGACTATTGTAATGCACTGCTAGCTGGTTGTCCTGCATCTTCAATAAACAAGCTACAGGTAGTCCAAAATGCAGCGGCTAGAGTCCTTACCAGGTCAAGAAAATATGATCATATTACCCCAATTTTACAGTCTCTGCACTGGCTACCTGTTAAGTTCCGTATCAGTTACAAAATATTATTACTTGCCTATAAGGCCCTTAATGGGTTAGCTCCTGCGTACCTAACTAGTCTTCTACCACGCTACAATCCATCACGCTCCCTAAGGTCGCAAAATTCTGGACTTTTGGTAGTACCTAGGATATCAAAGTCCACTAAAGGAGGTAGAGCTTTTTCGCATTTGGCTCCCAAACTCTGGAATAGCCTTCCTGATACCGTTCGGGGTTCAGACACTCTCTCTCTGTTTAAATCTAGATTAAAGACACATCTCTTTGGCCAAGCATTCAAATAATGCATCTCATAATCTTTTACTGCAGTCATACTCTTTTACTGCAGTTATATCTAATCAAATGCACATTATTATTCGTTAGTTTGGGTTACACAAATCATTTTTGCTTGGTTGGAACAGCAGCTACGCTAATTATGTTTGTATTTGTTTCTCTGTCTTTTGCCACGGGATTAACATCCCGTGGTAACTAGGATTTACACAAGCTTCAGTCTGGATCCAGAACACCTGAGAAGAGATGATGCAACCCCTCAGAGGACCTCAGATGATGCCAACCCTGAAACAACTTACAGAACTACCACATTTTGCTATAAGTTTGATTGCATCATATAATAATTGCTGTTAATAGTGTTCATCGTCTGTTTGATTACGTCTTTAATTGATTTTTCCGTACATTTCTTTAGTACAGTTTATTAACTGACAGTCACCACAGATAAGCTACTACTAAATATTGTAGAAACCTAATTTGCTGTAAAGTTGCTTTGCAACGATTTGTATCGTGAAAAGTGCTGAAACAAATAAACTTGAATTGAATTGAATAATATCAGGGCTCATTTGCACAATGAACTTCAGTCTATCGACTCCTGTGTATAATGACAAGTCCACAGTACCCCTCTTACTAATGCAATAAGATGCCCGTAGTTACTAACCTTGTGGAACAACGAATGTAATAATTGTACAGTGCTTTTCAGTAGGCATATATAGTAGCTTCGCATTTTCGCCCTGCCATGCGAAGAGGTCAGTAGCGACCGCTTGCCATGGGCTCTTTGGAAT